ATATATATATAAATAAAAAAACATGTATTTGTCATATATTATAAATAGTATATATAACATGTTTATAATGTATGATAAATACATACTATAGTATATTATAAATACATGTTATGTATAATTTATAAAATATAGACATAGCTTTATATATCGATCTATATAGGTAGATATTGTGTGTGTGTGTAGATAGAGAGAGATATAGATTTATAGATAGATAGCAAAGGCACTTTCCCCAGCACAGGCCCCCTCCCTCCATGCTATATATCGTCATGGCAGGAAGTTAGTTGTTAGTTGCCCACTGCCTTCCAACTACAGAAATAAGAATTCTTTGTGTTTAGGGAGCCTGGCCTTTGAATGTTGTCCTTGAAGGCCAGGTTCCCTAAACACACAGAATTCTTATTTCTGTAGTTGGAAGGCAGCAGGTGACTAACTTGTTGCTAAGCCTTCCAGGCCCACAGTGCAGTGTTTGATTAGCATGTGGAATCTGATGCTTCTCTAATGCTCAGTTTGTGGTACCTATGCCTATATTGTGCTGTGGGTATTTGCCAGGCATCTGGGCTTTGCTGGTTGACCTTACCCCCTTCCTATTTTTGCTATTTACATCACAGTGTTTCTGAGCCTTCCTCAGAGGCACTGGGTGTTGGCTACAGCCAAGGGTGGGGATTTGCCTGGGGCATGCGAAATGCTCCTGCTGGACCAAAGCTAGAGGTTTCTTTGCTAGAGGGTCTTGCTCTTCTGCTTAGTGCAAGACTACTCACCATATTTGGGGACAGGAAGGGATTTTACTGCGTAGTCAGATTGGTACAGACTGTGGGGGGTTTTGCCTTGCTCTGTAGTGGAAGGTGTGGCCCACTACCCATGATTTCTTGAGCAGATGTTGACACCTTTTCATAGAAGCAGGATGTTGGCTTCCTTGGTTCCCTTGCTTTACCTGTGGCAGGTTAGGGTGTTTGGTGCATGTTGTGCCAGGTTTGACCATAGTCTGAGGGAGAGTTTAGATCATAGATTGTATGAGATGGTTTGGATGGGGATGATCTTGCCTCAGGCAGGGTTGTTGGACTAGATGAACTTTGGAGTTCCTTTCCAGTCCTACTTTTCTATGACTCCATTATGGTGGAATTCATTTGGCCTTTTCCCACTCTTCACTAGTGGAAGTTACCTTTTTTAAGCCTGATTCTGATCTCACTAATGCTGTCCAGGACATGGACATCAGAAGTAACAGTGCTGACTGAAAACAGTGCAAAGCAGAATGTGGTCCAGTGTATCAAGCAGATACAGTACACAGAAGGTTTGTTCTTGTTATGTTACCATTTATTTGTTAAATGATTTCCCCCATGTATGAAATGATTGCATCTAAGTATTTTCAGTAATAAATATAGGTAAGTTACTGTCCAGTGCAACATATTATGCTGAATTTTGTGATTTCTTTTGTTTTTGTTTTTTGATTTTTTTTTTTAAATTTTGTTTTTGTTTTGTTTTAACACAGTAACTTAGGACTGAAAGTACTACCTGAGCCATTCAGTCCAGTTGCCTGAAGTATGGACCAAAGTCATTCCACCTGCCCTAGTCCACTAGTTACATTCCTTATTGAATCCATCAGCCTGCTCCCCTGAGATATAGTACAGAAGATATTTCTGATGATGACCCCAAGTACAAGTGTGAATGTGCAGGAATGGAAGTAGGGGATCAAAGTAGTGGGGAAAATGTATGCAGAGTTTGCAGGCAAAAGAAACTAAGAAGAAAGGACAGTAGCTGGCTCATTTTCAACAAATGTACTCCAATGGAGAAGATAAGGGGGAAACGAAGAAGAAAAGTGTGTAGTGGCTTTAAATGGGATGGCATATTTATATTTGCTTCTCTTTTAAGGAAGTACAAACTGACTCTGCTAAAGCTCACTTAATTGTAACTTTAACTAATATACCTTTTTCTGCTCAAAATCAGGTAACACTCTTGGGGTTTCTGGAAAGTTGCTGGTACACCCTTCAGTTTTTGAATGTAAGCATCCCTGATTTACATGCTCATGTAAGAGATGCTGAAGATGTGGGAAACGCATATCTATGGCTGTAGCTCTGCCAAGAATCTTGCACAAAG